TAGTTTGTGATGTCTCAAACCTGGAGGCCATTGTTCAGTGATAACAGAAAAGTCAGCAGTGCAACAGAATTAATGCAATCTCTGGTAAGCATTCACTTTACATCTCAGATTACAAATATTCTGTCACCACCCCACCATTTTAGATCTCCAAAGTCTGAGAGCAGGTCAACACACTTAAAATCTTCAAACTGGCTTCCCTGTACTTGTTGAGATCTAAAATTTATGGACTTGTCACTGTGTGATGGTATGAAACAGTATAGCTGCCAGATTAAAAGTTCTTGTTGTTGTCAAGCTATAGGAGATTTTAACCATTTATTTTGCTAAAAGTTTTTGAGTAATCATAAAAAAAGAGAATACTGTACTAAACTACCACATTCTTAGAGAACTCTGATATGAAGGACTTTGATGTTGAAAAACTCTGGTAAAGACTATGAAAATTAAAATTAGTATATGACAAATTATGCATACATGTCTATTATGTTCAGCAATATTTTGATACACAGAATTAAGTTTTATATGCATTTAGGTATTGTACACTCAATCTACCCTATCTCATGGTAGAGGTTATAAAAGAAAATTACCATTACTTCATTATGATATTGAGAAAAATGAGTATTAATAACCAATGATCTGAGGATACCCAGAGTTCTCCCATTTTTCTAAAGTCTTGGTTTTTAAGAAGTTCAGGCTCTTCAAGGACATTGCTAATAATGAGATTGGATTAATTTTCTTTTACTGACCCCATTCAAATGGAGTAGCCATTGTGTTCTGCTCAGGCTTTGGTAGGGTACACAGTTTTGAATAGGTTTTTTCCAAGGTTGGGGACGGTTTAAGTCTCTCTGTACAGGGGTTACATGATGTCACTCTCAGCCCCTCATTGAACACCTACTCTTTAAAGAGAATACAAATTATCAGCAGTTGCCATAATTGTCTTTGGTCAAAGAGAATTGGCCTAATGGCCATCCTTTTATTAATAATGAGCTGGCCTTATTAATAAAATGATTAAGTTACCCAGAAACTATATCTCTTAACCTTTTTAAGCATCACAATTAAAGAAAAATAAAAGAGTCATCATAATATGACAAAGATAGCCTTGAGTCAGGAAGACCTGAGTTCAAATTCTTCCTCAGACACTTAGACAAGTCACTTCACCCTGTTTGCCTCAATTTCCTCATCTGTAAAATGCTCTGGAGAAGAAAATGGAAAGCCACTCCAGTATCTCTGCTAAGAAAACCCCAAATGGGGTCACAAAGGGTCAGATGCCACTGAAAGATCTGAAGAGAAACAACAAAAAGGTATGCCTCTATGGCTGTATATGAAGGATGGTGGTTAGGTGTTTGGCCTGCAATAATACCTAACATATATAGAATCCTTTAAGATTTATGAAGAACTTTTACATGTAAAACCCATCAACAAGCATTTAATAAGCATATATTATGTGCTAAGCACATTGTTATATGTTAGGGGTGCAAAGAAAGACAAAAGGCAGTCCCAGGCCAAAGGAGGTCATAGTCTAATTTGGAGTGTGTGTATGTGGGGGGGGAGATGAAATGTAAATAACCAGGTAATATAAGATATATACAGAGTAGATGGAAGGTAATCTCAGGTAGGAAGGCACTAGGAGCTGGGTGGGGCATTGGGGGGGGTGATACACAGTAGAAAAGGAATTTTGAAGAAAGTCAATTTGAGCTGTCTTAAAGGAATCCAAGGAAACTAAGACTCAGAGGTGAAGAGCAAATGTGTTCCAGTCATGGGGAGCAGCCAGTGCATGAGAATCAATCATTAATCACTGTTCATCCTCTACCATTCCCACTGACCCCCTATTAAAAAAAACCTGATGAATTTTACTCAACTTAAAGAGGTTCGTCCTTAGATGACAGAAACAGCACATAATGCTAGGCCACCCTCAAAGACTTTTTGAGTTTAAATAGAGTTTTCCAGAGCTTACACCATACGGGTATAGTGTTTGAGAACTTAAGATCCCCTCCATGCCATGATAAAGCATCAGAGTGAGGACTGTGAATAAGACTTGAAGTGTGAGTACTTGGTGGTGATCAATAGCTTTACTATGGCAGCATTGTATGAGCTCTAGGAAAAGTCCTGTATTTGGCATTTAATGTCTTTCACAACCTGACCCCTTACTACCTCTCACTCTTCTTACCCTACTATCTTTTTACATACTCTCCATTCCTACTTCCTACTTCTTACACTGACCTACTTACTATTCCGTGCAGATGACATTCCATTTTTTACTTCTAGCTTTTCAGCTGTTGGTCCTCCATGCCTAGAATTCTCTCTCTCCACACCTCCACTTCTTACTTTTCTCAGTTTCCTTCAATACTCATCTCAAATCCCTCTTTTTGCAAGCATTTTCCAGTAGCCAGCTGCTAGTGTTTTCTCCTTTGAGGTTCTGTTGTTGTTGTTCAGCTGTTTCAGTCACGTCTGAGTCTTCATGACCCTATTTGGGATTTTCTTAGCAGAGATACCTGAGTACTTTACCATTTCCTTCTCCAGCTCATTTTACAGATGAGAAATTAAGGCAAAGAAGGTTAAATGACTTGTCCAGGGTTACAGCTAGTAAGTGTCTGAGGCCAGATTCGACCTCATGAAGATGAGTCTTCCTGATTCCAAGCCCTATGCTCTGTCCACTGGGTCACTAGCTGCCATTCTGTGAGGTTAATATCCATCTATTCTGTATGTATCTTGTATGTATTACTTACATGGTGTCTCCTTCATTAGAATGTGATTTTTTTTTTAAGGCAGGGACTGTGGTCTTGCCATTCATTGTATCTCTAGCACTATGGTGCTGCACATGGCACCTTGAATGGGAAAGATCTTAATTTAGAAAGGCCAAGGTCTCCCACTGTATCCTAAGCCATCACCAGTCATCTTGACTCTTGTCTTGCCATTGGACTTTGATGACTCTGGAGGAGAGTGTGAAGTTGATGACTTTCACAGCTCTGCCTCACTTAAATCCAATTCACTTGCAAGTCAGGACATCACTCTTGTGATGTCATTGGTCCTTTTTGAGAATGACAGATGAACAACAACAACAAAAACAATGTTTAATAAATGTTTGTTGACTGACTCTCTTCATAATCTTTTAATAAATCACATTTTGAAGATTTGCAGAGGGGGTGGAGAGTCTTATATCCCAAATAAAAAGTTAGATTACTACATGTGGTCAGTTTCACCTTCGTAGCACATGTGTGCACTACACACACACACACATGCATGCACGCACACACATACACACACAAATACACACACACCTCACAAAGAGGAAGCTGCAGTATTTAAAGAATAACTCTAATATGCCTTAAGATCAATGACTATGAGAGAAAGGGCCTGCATTGTGTAATGAATTTAGGAAATCTGTGTCTTCATGCCAACTTTGTCCCTAGCTACCCATCTACATTTTGGTAATTCATTTTAATTCCTATTCTGTGCAATGTGTCCTAGTTTGGGGCAGCTAGGTAGTGCAATAGATAGAGTGATGGCATTGGAATCGGGAAGAACTGAGTTCAAATCCAGTCTCAGATACTGTGTGACCCTGTGCAAGTCACTCACCTTTGTTTGCTTCAGTCTATAAAAACATTAATAATAATAACACCTACCTCCTGGTGTCATTGTATGGATCAAATGAGATTATTGTAAAGTGTTTAGCATAGTGCCTGGCACATAGTAAGTACCATATTAATATTATTATCACCATCATCATAATTAGTATGCATGGACTCTAGTTCTAATTCTAAAATGATGTGATTTTATATCTGTCTATATAAAATAATTTATATACTTCAATACATCCAAATTAAAAAAAAAATCAAAGAAGTTGTCACTTGAACAATTCTAAATATTCAGCTATTTGGCATTATGTAAGAAAAATACGCCCAAATAATTTATTTGGGGGTACCTGGGTATGTATTTTAATATTAGCATTTAGCATTTTTAAGACATTTTGGTTCTATGGAACCATGGTCATTTAGAGAAACCAATGTAATAATACGCCGATGTTCAGGGCTGTGTTCTTTTGATATTCAGTGAAATGTATCAATAACTATATACACATTACAGAATGTATTCATTTTGCGGAATGGAATATAGCTATATAATTCATAGGCTCCTATTTTGGATTTTCAGGGGCAACTAATACACAAAATGGTAGCAATCACAAAAATGAGAATGAGACCTAGTAGTAAGTGCTAACACTCCAATTTCATCACTAATAACAAAGAACTTTGTATGCATGGTAAGTTGACCATGATCTATGAAGTCCTTTTTTTTCCTTCCCTCCAAAAAACAATTACTTTCTAGGCTAGTTATACTCTGACAGTACTTTGCTTTAAAAAATGAGATTGCACAATTAATAATATTTTGTGTTTCAGTCATTCAGTCTTGTCTGATTCTTCCTGACCCTGTGGACCAATTGTCCATGAAGCTTTCTTGACAAAGATACTGAAATGGTTTGCCATTTTCTTCTTCAGTTTTATGCAGATAAAGGCTAAGTGACTTGCCCAGAGTCACACAGCTAGTAAGTATCTGAGGTCAGATTTGAAATCTGTTCTTTCTGACTCCAAGCCCGTTGTTCTATCCACTGCTCTTGCCTAGGTGACCTAATAACATCTGTTGTTGCTCAATCATTTCAGTCATGTCTGTCTTACTCTTTATGACCCCATTTGGGGTTTTCTTGGCAATGATACTTCAGTGGTTTATCATTTCCTTCTCCAGCTCATTTTACAGATGAAGAAACTGAGGGAAACAAAGTGAAGTGACTTGGCCAAGGTCACACAGATAGTAAGTGTGTGAGGCCAAATTTGAACTCAGATCTTTCCAAATCCAGGCCTGGCACTCTATCCACTGTGCCACCTAGTTGCCCTAAAAATATTTAGTTCTAATCAAATAAATTTGTTTTAAGAGAGCATAGAATTACAGTACGTTATTTTAAGATAATGTGACATGAGAAGGGATCGAAGGCTATTTGTTCCAAAGAATCTTACCTCCTCCATACATAACAGCAAGCATAATGGATGATATCCATGCTATCTCACTGTAAGTACTGTGAAATATCTCCTGAATTTCCTTGAAGAACACTGTGATGGCTTTGGGAAATGCATAGGAAAATCCGATGGAAATGAAAGCACCAAGGACCACAACCCAGCCCCATCCTCCATCTGGGGGTGAATACTGAAGTGGACCACTTGCTGCTGGTGGCATTTTGGTGTCCTTTTCTGTAATTCAGATACCTAGAAAAAAAAATCAGAAGCAATATCTTAAAATTATCTTTCAATTTCCCATAGCTAATTAGAATCACTAAAAGAAAAGAATAGCATTACCTAATAATAACCATAATGTGGTTTAGCCTGCATACTTGGCACCTGGGATGTCTAAAAATTTCAGTTACCAAAAATAGGATACCACAAGCTTACCTGAGTATTATGTTTTTGAATGTGATAAGCTAATGAAATTTAAATGATTTACTTTGCATTTAAAAAAATACCTAATTGAAATTAAGAATTAAAATCTGAATCAAAGTAGCTCTCTTGACCCTAAGCAAGTACACAAAACAAGTGGAGATATTCATTCTAAAGTATGTTTTACTATCCTAAAAATTATATTTTTATGTTTTGGAAAAGGCACAAAAGTAGCACAAAGTAATGTTGATGAATTATACATTATTAGACACTTTTTAAAACTGAAATTCTTACCATTTTTATTAAATGAGAATATTCAATCATTTTGGACCAAATATTTTACCAAAATCTATATTTTAGAAGTTTATGCTCCCATGAAATCAAGAAAATTTTAATGTACTTTCAAATTTAGTGTTAGCTGATCATTTTATAAATGGTGGATGACTTACATATTATGTAGTTGATTAATCTACATGTTATATAATTGATTGAATCCTCCACGTCAAGGAGTAAAATGATTTTATCAATATGCCTATTGGGTATTCAACCTCAGTTTTATTTGCTATGTGAGTATCTCAGAAAAAGCATTCTTCTGCAGGAGAAACATATAGAACCCTAGATTTTTCCAAAAGGATATAGCTTGAATTCTACTTAATATCACAAATATTTTAAAGCTTATCAATTCTTCAATAGGTGTGTGATTTTAAAACACACTGTAAATAACAATTAACAAAAGAAAGTCAAGAAAGATATAGTTTCCTTGGAATTGCTTTGGTTTTTCAATATCAATATTGCTTCTACAATCCTACTCCTCACCATTTTTTTTCAAGCTAACTTCCTTTAACTTGCAGATGCCAGTGGGTTCTCATACACTTGCCCCCTCCCCATTCCATTTGTGGACATTTCTCAATGGGAGTGCTATTACTTGTGGCAGGAAGAAAGAACGCTTTTAGTGCAAGCTAATGCTTCAAATGTGTCAATGCCAATTTATTTTGTCAGAATTTGTCTTTAGAGGCCTAACAGTAAAGCTAAACAGATGGCTATAATAATAGAAACAAGGGGACTTTTGTTGTTGTTATACATCTAAATATGTCCAAGGTATTTGCAGTAATCTTCAAATCAGCCTGAGGGATGCGGGGTCAAATATTATTTTCCACATCAGAGTTTGCTTATTTGCCCAATGATGAAACATGGAAGTAGCTTCTTTAATAGCTCAAGAAAGGAAAGTAAACACTATTCCTGAAAAAGCTTTTAAAGGATCCATACATCCACAAAGCATTATGACAGCAAATTGTGATTATGATAGTAACTACAGTGATATTTATGACTCATGATGCTTTTAAACAAGAAATTTAAAATCACTCAGCATAAAGTATTTCAGTGATTTATGGAGAGTACACAATGATTATCCCCATTTTACAAACAGATATTGAGATTTTAAAAGAACTTATTTGTATTCACTAAAGTTTCAAGTACCTGAGGGAATAGAGAATTATAAATATATTCTACTTGAATCCTTCAAAATTAAATTAATTAAATACTATTGACCAGTGACTCTCTTCAGAAATAATCTTTCTTCCCATCTTTATAGATACTACTCTATTTTGGTTCTCTTCTTGCAAATTTACCTATTCAATCTGTTTCTCCTTTACTTATTCTTGACCCCTTTCCATCCTCCTTAAGTGAGGGATTCCTTAAGGTTCTACCCTCTGACACTCTTTTTTCCCTTGATATTTCTCGTCATGAGAATCTCATTTATCCTAATACTTCAAGTATACTTCCTAAGCAGAAGACTGAGCCATGAGCTCAGAATCAGCATTACCAACTACCTACAGCATGTATGTATATATGCATGTATGTGTATGTACACGTACACATGCACACTCACACACACACACACACACACACAACACACACACACACACTCTTCTATTATCTTTGAAATGTAATCTCCTTAAAGGTGGGTACATTTTTAGCATTGTCTTCATATCCTTAGCACTTAATACAGTGTTCTAGATATAGTGGAGGCTTAAACGTTTTTGTTTTGGAATTGTTTCTTGTTTGTTTATTTTTGAAATGCAAGAACCTATTTAAAATATTGTTTCTTTAGATCACACTATATAAGGAAAATAACTGATACTTCTGGTTTCTTTATAGTCAGTAAGAAAAAAGATTTTTTTTTTCAGGGCATTGGGTTAATTTTTCTTATGGACTATGATGAGTGACATTCTTGATATCTCTCTTAAGAGGCGATACTAATTTTAAAACTGTAGGATCACACTGCATCTTTCCTTCTCTCTACAAAACTAAAGAAAAAGTGTTTACCTTCATTCATTAACTCATTTAAAAAAAAGCAGGGACTGATTCAAAGAACATACTCTTGTCTTTTCAGACTCTACAGGTGTGGAATGGAGACTCTATGAATTGGTTAAAGGAGAGGGGCAAATCTACCACCTGGAAGCAATCAACCGAAGAAAGAAAGCTGCAAGATGCAAACTATTGTCCACGTGAAGGAGATAGTCTGTACTATCAGTGCCAGTCTAAGCATACTATCTTTATCATTCTAAAAAAAAAATCACCAACCACCCATTATGCATTGTACTGGGACAGGCATTGTGGATAGAGCATGGACCAAAAAACCGTAGAATAGAAATTAATGCAAAAGTCAAAACTACCAAGATTTTCTGAAATGTTTAAATTGAGGCACACTGAGAAGGATAAGAAAACCTTAACGGTTTTCTCTAACTGAAAAGGCAGGTGTCACAGTATTTTCTGCATTTGAGAACTTCCCTCCAGGCTCCAGATGACTGGTGGCATCCTTTGTGCTTTCAAACATCTATGCAAGAAGGGAAGTAAGTATTTTACTTCTATGCCCACACTTTGCTGCCATGGTCAAAGAAGAGTACTGATAAACAAGGAAGAAAACAGAAATAGGTTGACTTTTGTTGCTGTTCTGGAAAGAAAGTAGTATGTACCAAACCAAAAAGGGCAAAATGGATAAAAGAAAGAAAATACATTTCTACACTTCTAAGAAGAAGAAAGCAAACTATGAAAACTCCAAAACATAAAAACAAGTACTAACAAATGTCTCTGTCACTCCATATTTAGGTGGCATTGTGGAATTATTCAGTATCCTCTAAAGTTAAAATGACTTACTTTAAGATTTCTTCTGTTAATAAAAATTAGAATAAAAATTATTAACCTGATTGGGTAAGAAATCATAGCCTGAAATTCTCATAAAATTAAATTTTTCATATTTAAACTGTAAATATTTAGATGCCTAGTTTAAGTTAAATTGAGTCATTGGTATCTAATTTCCTACAAATAAGAAAATTACTCGAGGCAGCTAGGTGGCACAGTGGATAGAGCACCAGCCCTGGAGTAAGGAGGACCTGGGTTCAAATGTGACCTCAGATACATAACACTTACTAGCTGTATGTCCCTGGCAAGTCACTTAACCCCATTGCCTTGCCAGAAAAAAAAAATGACTTGTAATGTTCATCTTTATTACTGATTGTCAGGTTTATAACATGCAAAAATTAAAATGTTTAAAATTGTGAATTTCCTGTTTGTGGAAGTATATTTGGAAGCCAAAGATTATCCCTACTAAATGCTACAAAAAATGAAAAGGAAGCTGTCTCTAACAACAAGGTCAAATGAAGAGCTGTGAGTAAAGACAAATCATGTCTCTTGGTATCATGCACTGCAGATTCCAGTCAGTCACGATCAGTCTGGTAGGAATTTTTTCTTTGCCAAATGCATCATTAATATTCTGTGATCACCAACAACCAGAATTAACCATCAATACAATAGCATGTAAAGAAATGTTGTGAAGAGGTTTTTTTATATGTTCCTCACATTTATAGAGACTTCAATTTGCAGATTATTGTTCCCTGAAAACTGAATGTAAAATTATTATTTTTTAATGGCAAATTTGTCTGGCCTTTGCTTTCCATATGCCAAGTAGCCACCTGACTTAATGAGCAGTCAGTGGATTGAGTAAAGAGTATTAATATGAAAAATAGGAAATAATTTTGGAAGAAAAAATAAGGGAACAACAAGGGTATATATCGACCATGGGTTAAGCCAGCTGGAGGGAAAAAAAAAAACCCTCTCCTGTCCAGAAAATTCTTTTTTATATGCAACTACTGTATAAGTACACATACTTCTGATTGCTTGAGGTTAAAAATAGTTTTACATCTTTCCAGAAATGTGCTAGTGAAACTTTAAAGAACATTTATACATTATATGAGTTTTTGTAGTGTGATTAGGGCGTAAACAGTTAGTTGAAGTTTAAACTCCTCACTCTGCAATTTTTTCCCTGCAACCACAAAGAAAAATAAACTGTCTTTTATTATTAATTCATGAGTTTAAACTACATTTTAGAATTTTTTAAAATTATTTCTACTATAGTGAATATTTAGAAATACTACCATCTGGTTTGTTTTCTGACCACTACCCCAAAAAAAGTTAACATAACTAAGGAATCTTCAATCCAGACTTTCAAAATGCTATAAATATTAATGTTTAGCACACCAGCAATCTTGGTCAATATTGTTATTGTTTTCATTTTACAAATAGGAAACTAGGGCCATGGCAAGGTTAAGTGATTTATTTAAGTGTGCACAATGAATTAGTGGCAGCATTGGAAATAAACCCTATGAATCTGAGCTATTAAAGTATGGCCTGGCATACTAAAGTAGACTTTACTCTTTGCCTTTTCCAGATTACTTTAAAGATTTAGAGTCCTTTTAAACATTGAACTTAATTCTTCTGTCAGAAGGAGAGTGATTAAAGAGAAGAATAACACTGATTTTTTTTAATGTTAAAGT